GATGATAAAAATGTGAGTGAATGGACAAACCAGCAGACTGAGCACACTGTAGAGCATCTTAAATGTTGTTTTTGGTCATTCTAAAATGCCTGAACTGTTTCAGTATTATTGTATATTATTAATTACCTCCGAGCGTCTGGACTTGGGGAGTCTCCGCATCTGGCTTCAAACGCCCCCACGTGTTCATTGCGTGTCAGCATTGTCTTGTGTCTCTGAGGCGCAAGTACATTTGTTAAATAAATAATTAATTGACGCAGCTTCTTCTACCGCAGTAAATTCTGTTTTTACTGTTAATCAGGAAGTGACGATTTTGTTCTCTTTGACTCATTGGATAAAAACGCTGCTTTATTTGCATATTTTATGCAATATTCCAGTTTTGCACAAATTTATGTAATATATTTGGATGGAAACATAGATATTGCCTACATTTTTGTCACACACAGAACAAAGTCACGTACGAGGCTTGTCCTTTTTCATACATAATTAGCTTAACCTTTGACATGTACTGTTACTAGATTAATGGGATTATTATTCTTTTTAAAAATTATTTTTAGTTCTGCTTACCTTCTAAATGTTATCAACCTCTATCACTTGATTAATAAAAAGGCAGACACACAAGTGCACTTTTTAATCTATTAAAACTGATCAACGTGTATAAAAGTGTAGAAACATTTTATAAACATCACACATTATATTCCTTTTTTTATTATACTTAAATATTTAAATACTTTAAATTAAAAATTACGCATTAACTTGAGCAGCTGTTTTCCCAGGCTGTCTCTGTTTCACTGATGGTTGCTTCTTTTTAAATATATACGCTCATATTTGCTATAACTTTGCATGAGCAGATCAAATTCAGCTGGAGAAAGAAATGCTGATCTCTTTTTTTTAAGATGTTGCCATGGTCACTCATAATATCTGCGCTCCATTGATAATGCCTTTTCATAGTCACGGTGTGCGCGCTTAACTCTGAGTTGCTCTACTCAAAGCTGATTGACCCAACTCAGATCAGCTATTCTGAAACCGAAAACTCTGAGTTTTTAATCTCTCGGTAAATCAACTTTAAACTTAAAAGTTCAAGTTTAAACTCAGAGTTGTTTGAACCTCCTTACTGAAACAGGCCCCAAGACCCTAAGTATGGTGAGAATGAATCAATGACAGTTTCTAAAATAATTTGAGAGACGTCCTCTTTTTGCCTAGTGGACCTACCTTGTGTTTTAGCTGTTAAAGGGTCACGAAACACCAAAACACATTTTTTGAGCTGTTGACAGTCGTATATGTGTCCCACACTGCTAAAAACACTATTAGGACACCTATATTTCACTAAAAAGTGTAAATTGGTTGTTTTTGCGTTATTTCAAGCAAATTCGTACTTCCGGTTTAAAACGAATTTGAGGCTGCGTCACGGCCATGACATAATAGCGTTGTATTCCAGCGTGCAGACTGGACGTCTGTGCCAGAGTGTGTCATATTACGTCTTACAGTGTGATGCATTAATGCATGAGTAAAGTTTGGTTTAAACCAATCAGCACGCTCTATTGTGCAACTTCATTAATATTCATTACTGTCACAGTGTTTAGACGGCAGAGACGCCACGTTGTGTTGGCAAAACAAGCGAGAAGTGTTGCTTTTATAGTTTGCTGCCGTTAAGTTTTGTTTTCATTTTCCCCCTGTGAGAGCACAGCTGGAGTCACGTGTGGATTAACAGTGTACGCGACGCTCGACAACAATAACTTACATGTCAAAGGAGGATTATTGTTTACCTGAGAGCTGTTCTCATCTGCAAACGCTGAGATCCGAATTCGCTTGTAGTCTCCTCTAAATAAAGACGCGGCTCTAGTTGCTGGTGATTGTCCTGTCTCTACAGATTTTGTAAGTGGGCGACCAGTGCTCTTTGTTTATTCAGTTCGTATTTTATTCGTATCAAACAAACTATTGCACAGAGTGTAAACAAGTTAGCACTACAACCAAACTATAACCTCGTGTTGGATTTTGTGACCGGATTAACACACGAGGCTTTCTGAAGCTACCTGCCGTTTGCATCAAAGTTTCCGGGAAATGCTGAGTTTTTTTTTCTCTCATTCGCCGTGCGGTATCAAACATTGCATAAAAAATACACGCTTAGAGCAGATCCTCGAATCAAATATCACGTTTGTCGCGAGGGACATGAATGAATTCCCTGAATGAAAGAGCCAAACTGCAGTTAAAGTCCACCATTTAATAATTTGGCAAATAATTCGACTACAGATGTCCATGTAAACAGTCCCTTTCTCCCCTGTGTGTGTGTGTGTGTGTTTTGACTTTGAAATTCAGCGCGCCTAAATAGACACTCCCAAACCAAGCCTCTTTTCTTCCTCCGACACTCCCCCCTAAACAGAGCTGGACACGCCCACTTTTCTGACTTTTTCCAAAGTAGAGGTGTGAAAACACCCTGATGAAACGAGGGGGTTTCATGGCCCTTTAATGTAAGCTATTTTCTAAAAGATATAATACTTTATATTACCTTTATGTCTGATCAGCGTTTTATATTAACAGACAATGCACAGATATTGATGTTTCATAATGTTTTTACACTACATTATTTCAACCTAACAAGCTTATTTTCCTATGTTTACATTGCTCTATCTACATTAAATCTAAATCCCAAATATCAGAAATGACAACAGCTTGTTAAGATTTAATTAATGTCAGTGTTAATGTTACTGATTAATGCTCTTACTTGACAGAATTCATTCATTCATTCATTCATTTTCCTTCGGCTTTGTCCCTGGTTTATCAGGGGTTACCACAGCGGAATGAACCACCACTTACTTGACAGATTTATATATTTTTAATTCTAGGTGTTTTATGTTTGGTAAAATTATTTCCAATTGCATTTTTAGTGATTTTCAACTAACTACACTGTATTGTCTCAAATGGTGGATTTAGGGGTTTTTTACAGTGGCCGGGAAGTGCAAAACAACATTACAAAGTTTGAAACACTTTTACAAAGCTCGAGACAAATTTACATTTTGAAAAACATTTTTACTTATCATTAGACACAATTACATAGGAAAAACAATTTTACAAAGGACGAAACAAATTTACATTTTAGGAAACAAATTAACAAGACGCAAAACACTTTTACAAATCCCGAAACAAATTTACAATTACAGATTCCCTACGGAAAGGGAATGTACCACACCCCGGAAGTGACGTAGAATGTACCACACACCGGTATTGACCCGGAATGTAACACACACTGTGTGACTTTGTAGACAGGTTTCCACAAGTCTACAACTATAAAAATTATGGTTTGACTAACTGCGATAAAATAAATTAGAGCTATTCTGAGAAAATATCAGCGTGAGAGTGCATAAAAACATGGAAATGCAAGTCCATGGAAACATTTAAAGCACAGCACATGTTGACTGATAAAGATACCAAAACCAATCTCAACCTGTACACCGGAGTAGCTCAGTTGGATAAGTCGGTTGATACTCATGTAGAACCTATTGACTTGGGTTCAAATCCAGTTGATGACATGTCAATTATAATAATTTCTTTAGATTAATTTTGGTTTATGCTGTTCTGCCACACAAATATTAAATCAACAATGATACACTGACACCAAGTAATTAGAATCTTTATTCGGTATGGGCATGTTTTGTTGCTGTGAAAAAGTGACCAATCTGCTAATCTGCAAACGTGGATAGTTTGCACATCTGAAAAGGGGCCTCAGTTAACACGGACACCAGTTAAACCATAACACAGGCTTCCTTCAGTTTACCGTTAAGAGTCCTCAAGCAGAGGTTTACACCGTGTAGACTTGACATCATGTTCATAATTACAGCGTACCGAGGGGATCTCGTAAAAATATTAAACACATTGATGCAGCATGTCTGGCGTTTCGGTCTGGTCCGCGTCCTTTATAAACTCTAAACACCGACCACACGCAAAGCAAAACCGTGTTAAGTTGCACAAGTGTTTGCCACAAAACGGGCAAAACAACCCTCGACCGCAGTCCATGTTCGGTCACCATAAACTTTGTTTACGCCATGTACTCCACAGCGCGAATTTACCGCGCACACCAGCAACAACAACAACGTTCCCCCGCGTCACTACCGGTGTGTGGTACATTCTATGTCACTTCGGGGTGTGGTACATTCCCTTTCCGTAGGGAATCTGTAATTGTAAATTTGTTTCGGGATTTGTAAAAGTGTTTTGCGTCATGTTAATTTGTTTTCTAAAATGTACATTTGTTTTGTCCTTGGTAAAATTGTTTTTTTCTATGTAATTGTGTCTGATGATAGGTAAACATGTTTGTCAAAATGTAAATTTGTCTCGAGCTTTGTTAAAGTGTTTCAAACTTTAATGTTGTTTTGCACTTCCCGGCCACCGTATGTTTTGCTAAAAAAGCACTGGTGGATTTAGCTAGTTTTGATGCAAAAGAAAATTGACCTTGCTAAAAAAACTAATTTTGAAATGTTTAAAGTGACATTTTGAAACAAAAAGATATTGCATTTACTAGCTAATAACCCTATCGTTATCAATAAATGAAACTTCTGAACCCAATCAGAAGCCGGGTAGGAAATGTTCATTCACAAAAAAAAAAAAAAAAAAAAGAGGTCTGATGGATTTAGAGCAGGGATCAGCAAACTTGTTCCTGGAGGGCCGGTGTCCTGCAGATTTTACCTCCAACCCTAATCAAACACACCTTAACAAGCTAATCAAGGTCTTACTAGGTATACTTGAAACACCCAGGCAGGTGTGTTGAGGCAAGTTGGAGTTAAACCCTGCAGGCCACCGGACCTCCAGGAACGAGATTGGTGACCCCTTATTTAGAGGGTTTTGCATCTGAACTCTTCAATTGTTTACACATATTTTTGCGTGGTGTGTGTAAACATGATATTAACAGTAGAAGTGACCTTCAATTTAAATGTTACAATGATTTTACAAAATCCATGCCATGACCTCTTTCAGTTAAGTTACTGTAGTCGTGTGCACGCGCGCGCGCTCACCGCTTGCAGATGTCATCGGCGGTCTCTTTAGTGAAAACTCTCTCCTGAAGCACGTTGTTCAAGGCATGGATGGCGCACAGCTCCAGTCTCTGCTTCTCATGAAACACCTCGCCCTCGCTCATGCTCACCCTGCCATCACAAACACATTCAGACCGTCCATTAACATGTAATTACGGCCAAAAACACGTTATGTACTCGCGTTCCCGTAAGCTGACAGCACATGACTGGATACATCATCATCATCATCATCGTAAACATCATCATCTCACCTTCTGGAAGACTGAATCCGCAGTGCAACGATTTATCCACTGATGCTCCTGACACGTACCGCGAAACTGATCTTTACTGGTCCATTAAACATACAATATTAAGCTGTTATTAACGAAATCTGTTGCGGTCTGTGAAAGGGGAACGCCGCCTGTTTCTTGTCCGTGAGGATCAGCCGGAAGTTGTGTTGTTGTCGCGTTGAGGGAACGCCCCGTGCGATCATGCTGCAGTTCACACGGCCGCTCCATAGGGGGACCCTCATTTTACAAAAAAATATAATAAAGAATAATAAACGAATAAATAAAATATAAAATTACATAAAAAATGATCTTGTGTGAAAGTGGAAGCTGCTAAGGATTGGAACTCCATCCCACCAACAATTAGAAGACCACTCACTTTCCGTTCTTTTCAATCTCATGTTAAAAATTGGTTATTGGCAAATCAGCATTGTCAGCATTAGTACTGTATTCTTGACACATTTGTACTGTTGTCTTTGGCTTTTTGTCCTCTTCTGCTGCCATCAGTCTGTTCTTGTCTTTTTTACTTTAACTGTATTTTATATATGAAAGTTTATTTCATGTTTAATGCTGTGCTTCTATTTTAGGTGTGACTTTTTAACATTCCATAAGGGGTCTACACATTCTTGGCTAATTCTGGCACATTTTACAGTAATGTTTATTAATGTGCATTGACCCTGTAAACAAATTAACTAAACTAAACTAAACTAAACTAAACGAAACTTAACTAAATAATCAAATTGCAATGAAGGATACGAATATATAAAAGTCATCCAGGGATCAAAATAAAAACTCAAACCCTTTTTTTCAGTTTTAGACATTACTGTAAACTGTGTGCTAATAAACTGTATAAATGTCAAAAACATTAATGTTTTATTAATATTATTATTAGTTGTAGTAACCACTGCTACTACTACTACTGCTACTACTACTACTACTACTAATAATAATAATAATAATAATAATAATAATAGATTAATATTATATATGTTGGAGCTTTAAAAATCTTTTTTTATGTATATATCTTTGCATATTTTATTCCATATTACAGTGAACAAAACATTTTAAAATAATTGTACAAATGCTATTGAAAACTATTATTATTATTATTATTATTATTATTATTAATAGAAAATAAATTACATTTTACATATTAATCATCATGCTTTTCATATTTCAATTTTAATAAGAAATGCCAAAAATACAGAACACAATAATGAGAACATAAACAACAAAAACAACAATCACAAAAACATATTAACAGATTGGTGTAGTTGTTTTTAAGCAGATTTTGTTATTATTATTATTATTATTATTATTATTAATTCAATCATTCATTTTCTTTTTGGCTTAGCCCCTTTATTAATCAAGGGTCTCCACATCGGAATTAACCACTAACTTATCCAGCATATGTTTTACGCAGCAGATTGTTGTTGTTATTGTTTTTGTTATACTGATGATGATGATGATGATGATGATGGTGATTATTATTAATATTATTGCATCAATAAACTATTATTACTAGATCAGAAAAGAGGCATGTTTTTTATTATATAATTTCACTCATTTTCTTTCTATTTGTATTACTTTGTGAATTGTTAGACATACACAGCAAATTCATCTGAGTTAAATTCTCGGTGTTGAAGCATTTCAGAGTAAAGTGTTGACGTTAAAGAGTTAGATTTTGATAAATGAATATAATAAGAGTTAGAATTGATTTTATTCAGTGCGAAATCAAGGAGTTATCTTTTCTACACTTGGTGGTGTTATTTCCAACATCCGGGAATTCATGCAGCCCCAGTCACTGAAGAATTTTCCAGACCATCTGAGGTTTAGAACAGCAACTGGTGAGTCAAACTACCTAAATGTTGGTATTTTACTTACTTTCTCTAAGGAAATACAGTTGTAAACATATTGTTAAGTTAATAACTTTAGAATGGAGTGACAATTTTAATCTTCTGCGGTTCATTCATGGTCGTTTGTGTATCTAGCTTAACTGCATTACTATTGACTTCTTTTCAAGAATGTTTTATATATGCTCACGCATACATAGTGCATAAAAACATCAAATGTACATCTTCAACACATTTCTGTCACGCTTAATGCCATTTTGTGCGTTGTTACCCATCTGTAAAATAAAATCGACACTTCTCCTTTAATTCGAAGCAAACTAGCGAGGGAATCCCCGGAGCAGCCTAACCTTAGCCTACTCTGCCCGGATGCTAACGGCAACACAGGACGGTTTCCATAAGCTCTGGAGAGTTTCTAAAACATATCTGGTGAGTAAATGAACATATGCTTACTTGTAAAAGGCTTCCTGACTAAAACATATGATTGTTTGTTATTCGTGTACGTTAATTTGGTTGTTTTAAACACCGCGGCCCTTTTAAACTGGTTCATTCGTGGCCGTCCATATAACGTTACCGTTAGTTGATAGACTCGCGTGATAACGTACGCTTGAATTATATTAAGCGTTGACAACCATTAAAGTCGGAATGTTAACATTAATGTCTTTAAATGACCGCGTTTGCACTTTCTCAGACTTTTAAGGTTACAGAAGTCTCCCGGAAGTTGTGGGACTAACATTAACGTTATCCCGCAAATGCACAGAGACTCCCAGATGCCTAAGTAGATGCCCGCAAATGAATGATAATCTCCCGGAAATCGCGCGTCTCCCGCCCGGTCATTAAACACTTTGCACACCCCTCTCCACCGCATCCCTCCCAGCTCTTCAGGTACGTCGCGCGCAAGTCACCCCCACCGCTCTTTAGGTACGTCGCGCGCAAGTCATCCCATTGTTCTTTAGGTACTCATTTCTCCCGCTACCTCCCGCAAATCAACTCTGTATCCCCCGAAAATTACTTTTCCCAACTCGGGATGTCTGACGTTAGTAAGTTAGGCTATTTCTGTTGTCAGGAACATCTTAGTCAAGCTTTTTCTCCCGCATGATATTGTGCTTAAAACTATAGGCTAAACTTACTGTACACAACATTTCCTTTTTATTAAAGACAATTTAGTGCGTTGTAAACAGCCACCTGTCTGTAAAATTAATCAACTGATTCATATTTGAGCAGCCTAATGATGATACAGGTTTGATTTGTAGATTTATTATCAATAATCAACATCTGAATCAAAAGATATCTGAAAAAGTGTGAGGCATACTTTGTGATGTTCATCTCTCCTTTTATCTGAAGGTTATGCATATGTGTTAGATACTAATTTTTTGTTGTTTTTTTAACAGCCACAGTTCTCTATACAATAACACAAGACCCTGTGACGGTGGCTGATTAGAGACGGATGGTGTATTTCCAGAGTTGGTGAAATTACCAAGCACACCTTCTTGGTCATATGTGGTGATAATAATGAAGGTATGTTTGATAAAGTTCTGTATTTGTTTCACAATAAGCTGAGAGGGTATTAGAGCATTAGAGAATAATGAATGACATGAAGGTGATAAGTTTTGTATTGTGGGTGAACTGTTATTTAAATAATGTTTTGCTCTTTACTTTGCACTTTTCCTCTTCTGCTTATCCTAATATTTTAGGTTATATTTGGACCTGAAACATCTGCTAGACTCCAGTAAAGGTGGCCTCAATACTGGACCTGAAAGGGCCTAACAAGTTGAATCTGGTAAAGAAACACGCACACACACACACGCACGCACACGCTTACAGAAAACTGTTGTTTATGAAGTTTATGAATATTTTTTACACTGTGGCCAATATTTTGGGGAAGTCAGCATCACTAAATGATATAAAAGATTTTAAGCTCCTCTAAATTTTGCTCCAAGTGTTGTGTTAAATTCAGGATTCTGGACAGACAGCTGCCTGTTTTTCCAGTTCTAGTCATAGTGGTTAACCTAATTGTTTTTGGAGATCCAACAGTGATATATGTGTTTTTTCTACTTTTCCATATCCTGTCACATCAACCAGCTGGGAGAGTCAAGTTGTGGATCATCATGAAGATTTTCAAAAGGTGAGTTTAGATTTCTTGAATGTTTTATTTACTTTAAATGTTCTTTTAAATATATCATAGAATTTGATTGCAGTTTGTTTTCAAACATTTTTCTTAGTCATGCTGGAGTCTTGAAGAGTTCTTGGATAAGCATCACCCTATATCCGTGCATCAGGAACCACCAGACGAGCGATCAGCAGCTGATACATCGTCATGGATAAAAAGGTCATCCTGTGGCTGGGAAGCACTTCATTCACAGGACATGCTTGATGAGATTTCCTAGCTCCAGTTTGTTTTCACACAAGTTTACAGCATTTATACCTTCATTTAAACTGCTGTGTTTAATATGGAGGACCAAGGAAACACCAGAAGTGAAAGATTTGCACGCCAAGTTGTTTAAAATGTAATTTCAGAAGAAAACTATGAGTTCAGAAGTAAACTATGAGTGACGATATATTGAACTTTCAAATTGCTCTGATAACACATCAAGTTTGGACCAAAGGACTGAAACAGCCTTTTTGAGCACTGGTCATACATATTTTGTTGATACTGTCTGTACTAATAAAACATTTAAAGCATATTTGACATTGTTGCATTTTAAAAACTGAATGAATTGTTGAAGTGGTGAATGTTTTCAAATAAAATGTTTTTTCTTTTGTAATTTACAGTCTATTTGACCTTTTTACCATATTTACACTCAAGAGAGTTGAATAAAATAACAATATATTACACCAGGCAGTGTTAAATATAGTTAAATTTTTTAACTCTGCCCAGAGTTAAAATTAACCCTTACTTCGGTGTCAATGTGCCAACCCTTTTGAAAGTGTTGATTTAACTTTGTTTTGAGTGGACCCCATGAGACACTTTCAAAGTGTTGAAATTAACACCCATAGAGTTGTTTTGGGTCCCCATATTTTGCTGTGTATGTTGTCCAATATAAACTTATTATATTGTGGACACATGCTTTTTAACTGCTAAAAACAGAACATATAGA